TTGAACAGGTACATGATTTTGATAATGATTATGTACTAACAACATCGTGTAATAATAATAGTAGTTATGGAAACAAATGGGTGTTAGACTCTGCTTGCACTCTGCATATGACGTTCCGAAAAGACTGGTTTAGCAGCTATGAGAAAAGTGGAGGAACCGTAGTAATGGGCAATACTGCAACTTGTGCAATAATTGGCATTGGCTCAGTTCGGGTTCGCTGCCATGATAGAGTCGTGAGGACTATGACACAAGTCCGTCATGTTCCTGATCTGAAGAAGAATTTGATCTCCCTGAGTACTTTGGATGAACAAGGCTACAGGTACATGAGCGAAGTAGGAACTATAAAGGTGACTAAAGGTTCTTTAGTCATGCTAAAAGGCAAGCTGGAGAACGGCCTTTACACATTGGCCGGAAGCACCATTGTTGGCTCTGCAAATGCATCTACAGTGCAATTATCTAATGATGACAAGGCAAGACTATGGCATATGAGACTAGGTCATATGAGCGCACGTGGACGGGAGATATTGAGTAATCGTAACCTTTTGGAAGGTGAGAAGATCAGCACACTTGACTTCTGTGAGCACTGCGTTCTAGGGAAGCAGAAGAAGGTTAGCTTCAGCACTGGCAAACACAAGACAAGAGGAGTGCTAGACTACATCCATTCAGATTTATGGGGTCCCTCTAAACTTCCATTGAAGGGCAGAAAGAGGTATCTTCTCACTTTTATTGATGATTTCTCATGAAAGGTTTGGGTGCATTTTTTGAAGGCAAAAAGTGATGCTTTTGAAGCATTTAAAAAGTGGAAGATTTTGGTTGAAAATAAAATGGAAAGGAAAATCAAGTATCTTCGCACAGACAATAGCTTGGAGTTTTGCAATGAAGAGTTTAATGAATTCTGCAAGGTTCATGGGATCTCAAGACACAGGACTGTCAGGTATACCCCACAGCAGAATGGAGTTGCCGAGAGAATGAACAGAACTCTTCTTGAAAAGGCTCGTTGTATGCTCTTACAAGCCAAAATGTCCAAAGTATTTTGGGCTGAATACTGTCAATCGATCTCCAGCATCAGCAATTGACTTTAAGACTCCGAATGAGGTATGGTCAGGTGAACTCTCTAACTATTCATACTTACGAGTATTTGGGTGTCCAGCTTATTATCGGCAATTGACTTTAAGACTCCGAATGAGGTATGGTCAGGGGAATCATCTAACTATTCATACTTACGAGTATTTGGGTGTCCAGCTTATTATCACGTTAATGAAGGAAAGCTTGAACCAAGGGCTACGAAGGCCATATTCGTAGGGTACGTGGATGGAGTAAAAGGGTACAAACTTTGGTGTTTGTCTTTACTCAAATTTACAGTTAGTAGAGATGTCACCTTCGATGAATCCTCCATACTTGATCCCCGTAAAATTTCCGTGGAGTTTTCAGGAAACAAGAACGACGAGCAGGTGGAGCTTCCGGTGGAGCTTGCCAAGGAAAAGGATCAAGAGACTCAGGTTAAAGATGAGTCAGAAGATGTAGGCGTTGAAGAACTTGCTGTCAATGAACCATACACAATTGCGAAGGGGAGGGAGAAGAGGCAGACACGAGAACCGGAACGCCTTATAGATCAAGCAAACTTGATTGCATATGCGTTCGCAGCTGCACAAGAAGAGATTAAGGATCCAGTGCCCTCCTCGTATATTGAAGCAACTTCTTGCAAGGATGCCGCACAATGGCGGTTAGCCATGACTGAAGAGATGGAGTCTCTTCACAAGAATCAGACATGGGTCTTAGTGAAAAGACAAAAGGGGAAGAGGACAGTTGGATGCAAGTGGGTCTACCGAAAGAAAGAGGGAATTCCTGAAGTGGAAGATGCTAGGTTCAAGGCGAGATTGGTTGCAAAAGGTTTCAGCCAAAAGGAGGGAATTGACTACAATGAGATTTTCTCTCCGGTCGTGAAGCATAGCTCAATTCGCGTGCTACTAGCATTGGTTGCACAATTTGACTTGGAGCTTCAACAGCTTGATGTCAAAACTGCTTTCTTACACGGTGATCTAGAAGAGACAATCTATATGGATCAACCTGAAGGTTTCCTAGCTGAGGGAAAAGAAGATCACGTATGCCAACTAAAGAAGTCTTTGTATGGTTTGAAGCAATCCCCTAGACAGTGGTACAAGAGGTTTGATGCATTCATGACTACACATGAATTCTCAAGGAGTGCATTTGATAGTTGTGTGTATCACAAGAAGATGTCTGGTAACTCAATGATTTATTTACTGTTGTATGTTGATGATATGCTTATTGCTGCTAACAACATTACAGAGATAAATGCTTTGAAGAAACTATTGAGTAAGGAATTTGACATGAAGGATTTAGGAGCTGCAAAGAAAATCCTTGGTATGGAGATTTCAAGAGAAGACGATGTTGTACATCTTTCTCAGAAGAGGTATATTGAAAGGGTTCTCGAGAGATTCAATATGCAAACGTGCAAGCCTGTAAGTACACCATTAGCTCCTCATTTTAAACTTTCAGAGTCACAAATGCCTCAGTCCGAGGATGAGGTGGAGCATATGTCAAAGATTCCTTATGCCAGTGCAGTTGGTAGTATTATGTATGCTATGGTATGCACACGTCCAGATATTGCTCAATCTGTAAGTGTGGTAAGTAGATACATGTCCAACCCAGGAAAGAGGCATTGGGAAGCTGTCAAGTGGATATTGAGATATCTCAAAGGAGCTTCTGGTGTTGGTCTTACCTTTCGAAAAAGTGGTACAGGTATTTCAATTCTCGGTTATGTGGATTCTGACTATGCAGGAGATCTTGACAGAAGAAGGTCCACAACTGGATACATCTTTACCCTCGTTGGCAGTGCCGTCAGTTGGAAGTCGACTCTGCAGTCGATTGTCGCTTTGTCTACGACAGAAGCAGAATACATGGCAGCAGCGGAGGCGGTAAAGGAAGCTATCTGGTTGAAAAGTTTAGTAGCGGAATTGAGTTTGGTTCAGCTGGAATCAACTCTTAGATGTGATAGTCAGAGTGTTATTCATCTAATGAAAAATCAGAGATTTCATGAGCGCACTAAACACATTGATGTCAGATTTCATTTTATTCGAGATGTTGTTGAAGAGGGAACTATCAAGGTCGTGAAGGTTATCACAGACGATAATGCTGCAGACATGTTGACCAAGATAGTCCCGCTCGCTAAGTTTGCACACTGCAAGGACTTGGCGGGGGTGTGCATCAACTGATGCAACTCCGAAGAGAACAGTTGTTAGGTGGAGGTGGTATGTTCAACAATGGTTTGATTCTTCTTGTTTCTTACAACGGGGTTGCCCAGTAAGCTTAGAAGTTTTGGCCAGAGTTGTTCACACGCTCGAAACGCAAACCAAGGTGGAGATTGAAAGTGTTGGTTTATGTTTAGTCAACAATGGCATGCCAATTGGAAGAGTTGGTGGAAAGAGTTGGTGTGGATGCTAGGAGGAAGCTTCCTCCTTTTGATGTCACCCATGACATCAAGAGGAGGTCTTTACCTCTATAAATAGATGCACTCCTTCATTTGTAGAAACCATCCCAAAAATAATACAATACATTGTAGTGAGTAGAGAGTTAAGAGAGAAATTCTCTTAAGTGTAATGGGGAACTCTCCCCTTCCTTTGTTAATAATAAAAAGGCAACTGTTCTCTGGTGGACATAGGATTATTTTGATCCGAACCACGTTAAATCTTGTGTTCTTTCTTTTACGTTTCCGCTAACATTAACTTTGAAACTTTTCCTATTTTACCCATTGGGTATTTATAACAGCCTAGGGTTATTTCATTGGGAATTTAACATATTTTTGACATAAAAAAACTCTTGAGAGAGATTTGGAACCTCTTGGTTCGAGTTCGACTTTGGATAACCTGTTTTCAAGACTTGGGTTCTTGAGAGTAATCTTCTTCTCCTTTCTCTATATCTAGGGTTCTAATTGTCGTTCTTGGGAGGCGATCAGATAGTTTTTAGATTGTTGCTTGAGACGTTCACTTAGGGTTCTAGATTTTCTTCTAAATTTCCTTATTATGACTACTTTTGATTATCTTAATCAAACCTATCATTTGTTTTACTTTAATTATTATTATTTTCATATTCCGCTGCTTTGTTTATCTCAGATCGTATCACTAGTTGCAAGTGGCATCAGCTAATCCCTATAAAGCTACACTCTAGTCATTGAGGTCAGCCTAAAAATAGATCCAGCTAGAAAAATCAGCAACAGGTTGGCACCATGAATCTATAAGACAGATTATTAGAAGAAGGCAGATTAGTTTCTTAAAGAGAAAGGTCACATCTCAGTCTATGAGATGACTTGGCTTTGAGAGACATGAGTATATGTGGGAGATGGTTCGCTCATATTTTTAGAGTGTAAACACACACACATATAAAACACAAAAATGATGACGTTATCAGTTAAAGGCACACCTGAATTTCATCAATAATCGCACAGTCATAGTCAGATGCAACATCAGCCATCTCTACTGTAACAGCCTTATGTCTTGCACCATCAACTTCCTCCCTCTCTTGTCCAGTAATAAGGTCACAAGGAACTTTTGACTTGTTCAACCTTTTAGCAACCTCCCATGCTAATAACCTCAAAGGCCCACAGTAAACACCTGAATATCAGATTCGACTATTAAGGTAATTCCATTAATTGGAACAGACTAGTTAAACTCAGAACATTTCAGGGTATTAGTATTACAGTTTACCAGAAGAACTCGACTCGAGCTGTTTTAGGGCATAATATGTTTTGCCGCTGTTTGTTGGGCCCACATGTAAAAAGACATTCCTGCTTTTCTTTCGAGCATGTGGGTACCATGTATGCGGATGGCTGAAATTAGAAATGGATCACAGAGATCAAAATGGACTTCCACAAAAATCACAGTACAACAGTAGATGATCTAGTTCTCCTTTTTTATCAGGTAATACAACTTGTATTAATATGCATCCAGTGGATGAAGAATAGGTATAAACAAAAAGGTTACTATATAAAATTCAAGGAACCAACAAACACAATAGATGATCTCCTTTCATGCAGTAAATAAGAAATGAGATACAATTCTTACGTAAGGTCTGTAAAATCGACTTTTCTAGCAGCAGTAGAATTGCTGAATTGCCTTAGGCAATTACAAATAGCAAAAGAAGCTTCTGTTCCCATATTCCATGGGAGCCAATACAACTCCCCGCCACCTGTCCAACAAGGAAGTGCTAAAATCGTTAATAATTGGTTGGCTGCAATAGAAATGCAAGCGCTCCAGCTAAAACTCACAGTTCTAGAAATGACCAAATAGAAAAGGTCTACAACTCCATGTTTGGTTAGCTTAACTGTGTGGAAAAATAATTTCCTTATGAACCCATTTTCTTAAAATTTCAGGAAAATAACTTNAATCTACCACGCCACCCTGCTGCCGCCCACCGACCCAACACCCCTCCCACTCCACACCCAGCCCACACCCGACCGCCAACCTCGACCCCCACCCTTGACCCACAAACACCCCCATCCCCTATAATGTTTGCATAAATAAATATAAATGCTCTTGGGACAATATATATCCTATTTGGCCAAGCTTCATTTTGGCCATAAGTGTTTTTTTTTTCCTTTCTGAAAGTACCTTCTCCCAAAGTTAAGGTGTTTGGCCAAGCTTTTAGAAGGAAAAAAAAGTGTCTTTGAATAAAAGCAGAAGCACTTTTTGAGAAGCAGGAAAAAGTAGTTTTTTCTCAAAAGCACATTTTGTGAAAAGTACTTTTGAGAAAAAATACACTTAGAAGTACTTTTTAAAAGGTTGGTCAAACACTAATTGCTACTCAAAAGTGCTTTTCAAGTTAATTAGCCAAACATAAACTGTTTCTCACCAAAAGTATTTTTTTGAAAAGCAATTTTGAGAAAAGCATTTTTCAAAATAAGTTGATTTTAGAAGCTTGGCCAAACAAGCTAATATTCTGCTTGCTTACCAAACACCAGAAAAACCACTTATTTTCAGGGAAAACATTTCCCCTTCGTACCAAACACACACTTATTATAATCTGCAAGGAGAATCACTAAAGCACAGAGACATAAGCACACTGTCAATCTATGCCTGCACACATAGCAATAGCACAAAAAGAGCAAGAACTATCCAAATGCCCTACATAGACTGAGCACAAATCATTCAGATTGTCATCTCAATATAAATAGAAAATTGATATGAGCAATCGTCTTATCTCAAGTAATCATACCAGTTCTCTACAAGACCGCATGAACACATTAATAACATAAAGACAAAGGAGGTCAAGGAACTAGGCAGGTCTTGACGTCTCAATCAACGTCAGTACCCCCCCTCCCCCTTACCATGTTACGATGAACTTCACATTTCTTGAGATGTAACATTGACATCGCATGTGCTGATTCATGAGTAAGATTTGGATAGACTACTAGTAGACAATATCACCTCTTGCATCAAATTATGAAGGACAAACAAGTATTAACACCATTTTGGGGGAAACTAATCTTTATATTTTTCTGTTGACGACTTGCCGGAGAAACCAAAAATCAAAGATGCGAAGATAATATAAATAACAACAAGATTTTCTGCTCAAAGATGATATAAATAACAAGTTTTTCTGCTCAGAACAAACCAACTCTTCGTAGCTAGATGTCAATGCGCTTGTGCTTATGTACAATACAAAAGGCTACAATTATTGTATTTCAATACTAAACAAGTTGGCGTCGACTATATGAACCATTTTTGCTTAAGTTGGGCCTGTTTCTTTTCTGAACAATATAAAAAACTAATTCTCAATCTTAATCATAAATAAAATACAAAATTCTCATTTCCTACAAGGAGCTCTAGATTCACACTTTCGACTCGATGAAAGTCAAAGCGCAAAAGCCATAGCTTTCTCTACAAACATTCCTTCAATACAGCAAATGAACTTTAAAATCCAAAAATATCCCACATTTAGCTATCAATTGAAACATTATTAAAACCATTATATCTGCATACAGATTAGCAGTTGCTCTATTATATATTTTGACAATTCAGATAAGATTCAACATCAAAGTTTAAGCAAATAAGTTCACTACCATTCTATAAAATACTGAAACAAAATTTTTTTTTTAAAAAAAAGTTTTATTTAAGAAAAAGAAATCCACTTTTTACCTCCAGATTTATCATTCTCCACTAGTCTATGCAATTATCAATCATTTTCTTTAACCCAACAAAGAAAAAGAAACTAACTTTCAAGAATTTAAAAAGGAACACTATTTTGCTTCTATGTCTTATCTTTTGAGAAAACTATAAGAACTATTGAGAACTACCCAGAATAAAGTAAAGTTGAAAAATTTACCATGTGATATAAGACTCTTACGCGGAATGCTCACCGGTATTAGTCTCCGGCCGAAGAGCAAAGCTACCATTTTTTTTCCTTTTTTTCTTTTAATTTATACAAAAGAATAAGGAAAGTATATACACAGTTTTTTTTCTTTTCTTTGGAATATTGCTAGAGATGGGTGTTTACACGTCTTATGTTAAATTGAGAAGAAGTAGAAGAAATCATGGGAGGAGAAAGGTGCTGAGAAAATTGTTGCGTGTACTCCGACCGCTGCCTTCGGTTCTCAACAGTTAATTCTTTATTAATTTTTCCGAAACACTAATTATTTTGCGTCGACAATGTTTTATTAAATTTAAGAAAGAAAGAAGATACTTCTAAAATTGCGGTTTAAATTAAGCCGACGTTTAGACATAAGAATTGTAAAATTTCAAAATAGGGGAAAAAAACATTTAAAGTGAAAATGTTATTTCAAATTTAGAGTTGTGTTTGGACTTGAATATAATTTTGGGTTGTTTTTGAAGTTTTGTGAGTGATTTGAGTGAAAATTTTGAAAAATAGTTTTTTGGAGATTTTCAAATTTTCAAAATGCATCTTCAAGTGAAAATTGGAAATTTTACGAACAAACACTGATTTCGAAATAAATTGAAATTGTTTTGAAAAAAAAAAAGAAAAAATTTCTTATGTCCAAACGGGCTCTAAATACTTCTGTAAATTATTAAAATAAGAAATTTAAAGTTAACTTATTTTAAAATATACAAATACATTATTTTTTCTTAAAAATATTAGAAAATATAGTGTCACAAATTTTATTTTATTTTTGGTAATAAAAATATAAAATATTACCATACAAAAAAATGAATACACCTAAATAGCAGTTTATCCTTGGCAATATTCAGGAAGGGTAGACTTTCTTAATGAAAGCAACATATGATTGCAGGAAAAGAGAGAGAAAACCATACTCTGTTCACTCTCTAACCAAATACCATTGACATGGCCACATCCCCACCCCCACAGAGGATCCATCCTCCAAAATATCACTGGAACCACTGGATCCCCTTACTTTGCCTCCCAAATTGAGATGGATGAGGATACCCCTCAAAAAAATTCTTCCAAAGAGATCCTGCTGGAAAAGAATTTAATGTCCACCACTTTATATGAACTAACTCACTCCACTCCCCTATTCGAACTAAATGTGGGGAATATCCATATCCCTTTGTCAAAGGAGGACGAGAACAGACTATACTTACCCTGGAGATACTCCCTAATAGTAAAATTATTTGGGAGGAAAATTCTCCATCAGCTACTGTGAGCAAAGCTCGCACATCTTTGGAAGCCCATTGAACCCCTAACGCTAATCGACCTGGGTTATGACTTCTTCATCATCAAATTTAACTTAGAAGCTAGCATGAACAAAGTCTTGAGAGAGGGACCCTGGTTTGTCAGGAGCCACTTCCTTTCTATACGGAAATGAGAACCAAACATTGTCCTAGCTGAATCCAAATTTGATATTACAGCAATTTGGATCAGGCCCCCATAGCTCCCAACAGAGTTCTATGACAGAGTGATCCTCGAGCAAGTGGGCAATAGGGTGGGCAAACTACTAAATAGATACATGTACCTCCTCCACCCTTAGGAGGAAATATGCTAGGATTTGTGTCCAAGTTCCATTAGACATTCCAGTCACCACCACAATCATCATCAGAATCCACAACAAACCCATCCTATATGAGGGGGAAGGGATTCTCTGCAAGGGATGTGGGAGAATTAGCCATATACTTCGCCACTATCCATTCATGCCCAAGGTCAATAAAGCCAACAATCCAACTAATCTAAACCCTACATCTACAACTACAGGTACAACTCCTACCAAAGACTCTCTGTGGCAAATAGTTCCATTCAAACGGAACAAAAAAGGAACTCACAAAGGAAATCACTTGCCTAGGCCATTCGGAGCATCACCGGAGCAACCCATGATCCAGGTAAGGTGGTACAGAGAAGCTACAAGTATGTTCCTTTACCTCAATGCCATCACTAGTGGCGGCGACAACCCTAAAACACACGAACATCTGAATCTAGGGGAACATTTGGGCCATATGGGATGGGCTACGGAGATCCAACAAGACTCTAAGTCTTTAAGGCCCAACTCTGATAAAGGCTCATCTTCACAAGGGGGCCTTATCAAAACAAGTGAAGCCCCACAAGCAAAGTGGACTGGGCTGAAAAGGCATCTGCACAAGTCAGACACAAACACAAAAGATGTCACTCTAAGGAATATCTCCATTCCCAAAAATCCAAATGCAATCTACAAATATGGGATCCCAAATCGGGTACTCTGACACAATTAGAGAGATCTCGTTTTTGGAAAAGGATCCCTTGTCAACACAATCCTATCCTAATTTGGCACACTCACTCACGAAAGGCCACTCTAACGCGCCTGCACCTGCGCAAAACACTACACATTCCCTCTTCTCCCCTGACTTTGCCTTTTTCAGTGAAGGTAATGAATTACCTATTACAAATCCAAGAACCGATACTAGCTTTGAGGTGACACCCCCTGTCAATCCCTTAAGATATTGCAAAAGGAAAATCGTCTCACACGAAACCCAAAGAGGAGATGGACTATAATGTGTCTCCCTCATCCTCTCCTTCATTCACTCCTAGTCACACCACCAGCCCCATTCACTCTATCCTTTCTGATGGAAAACAACAACCTCATTCCCAAACACAGACCACAACTCTGCTAACCATCTCCACCATTCCAATGCCTCCAGAGCTCATGCCAGAGTCATGGTTGGAAATGGCACTCCAAGGACACTCCCAGAACCTCCAAATGATGGTTGGGTTGGTCCCAATGGAAATAACCATCCAAAATCCCAGGTACCTAGCTCGACTAGCCACACAACTTCTCCTCCAGGGTCTGGCAAGCTTTGGATACCCGTTATGGATGTCCACCTTACTCCAAGCCTAGTACATGAGGCACCAATAACCCCTTTCCATGGAGGAACTCAACGCACTCATGGGCCAGCTTTGCCAGACCATGCCCTTCTTCCCACTCATGAACCTGGAGGCTCCAGTCCCATTTCCGACCTTCCAACTCTGGCCACCAATAGTCCAAGTCCCTCAGCCACCACCACTACAACCACTCTCACCCATCGATCTTCTAAGTAGGGGCACCACTATGGCATTGGACTATCTCTGAGAGTCCAATATGGACCTGGAGAACATGCTAGAAAAATTAGGGATGCCAAAGACAAAGGCATTCCTCATGCAGGAACCCTTGGAGATAGAGTTCAAAGAGCAGTCAAGAGAAATGCTTATTGCTCTGTGCCCCAAAAAACTCATAAGCTGCAAACTCGATCTTCGTGTATACTCATTTCCAAACTTGAAAAACTCAGTAGTGACCCTGGTCCCTCTGGTGGGCACCATAAACCCAACCCCAGTGAGCAAGGGGAAGGGAATCAAAAGGAAAGCTCCAACCCAAAACCCCTTCTTATTGAACTTCATAATATGGAATGCTAGGGGGACCAACAATGCGAAGTTCTATAGGCACTGCTCATCTATGGTGAAGCTCCATAGCCCTGCCATGCTGGTCTTACTGGAAACTAGAATGGCAGATCACAAGCACCTAACTTCTGAGATTAAGTTTGATGGCCCAATTTTAATCCCCTGTTGTTGGACAGTCTGGTGGGATTGTTCTCATGTGGAATGATGATCTGCTTAAGTTAGAGGAAGTAGCTACTACTGTACAGCGAGTGCATTTCATGGTCAAGGTAATTCCCTCCTCCACTAAATGGCTTTTTCTGCTATATATGCTAGTAACCGTGTCAATAATAGAAATAAGCTCTAGAATACATTAGAGGATCTGGCTTCTGTGTACGGGTGTAGTTGGCATCTTGGAGGGGATTTCAATAAACTTCTAAAAGTCGGGGATAAGTTTGAGGGTAATAGCTTGAACACCAATAGAAGCAATAGATTCTGAAAATGCTTGAACAATTGCAAATTAGTGGACCTAGGTTTTAAAGGCTCTAAATATACTTGGTCTTATAAAAGATACTCCAATAAGCAAGACTTAATCTTAGAAAGACTTGATAGGTGCTTTGCAGCTGAAGCTTGGATTGAAGAGTTCCCTGAATCAACTGTTACACACCTTCTTAGAACTCACTCAGACCACTGTCCTCTTCTTTTAAGCCTAATCCAACAGATTCACAACAGGGCAAACAAGTCTTTTAAGTTTGAATCTATATGGTGCAGCTACCCTGGCTTCCTCCCTCTTATGGAGGGCAGCTTCGATGCTGGTACTGATATCCTGAAAGTTACCTCTATTTTTACCAATAGGGTAGCTGACTGGAATAAACATGTCTTTGGCAACATCTTCCATAGGAAAAGCCATATCCTTGCCAGACTTTCTGGCATTCAGAAGTCCAATGCCTACCCTTTTAGAACCTTCCTTCAGGAGCTTGAAGCCAAGCTTCAACATGACTTCTCTGTCATTTTAAAGAGTGAAGAAGACTTATGGAAGCTTAAATCCAGAATTAGTTGGTTAAGTGAGGGTGATGCTAACATTAAATTCTTCTATATATCCATACTTAATAAAAGAAGGAGGAACATGATCATGTCCCTAAAGGATGAGGTGGGGAATAACATTCAGAATCCAAAGGACATTAAAGACACAATCCTTAGCTACTTCACCAAGATCTATACCACTGAACATCATAGCTCAATGCTGAATAGGATCCACATCACTGATAGTACTAATGTACTAAATACTAGGGAGCAGGACACCATTGACTCCACCCTTAGGCTCTTTGAGATCAAGTGTGCCCTATTCTCCTACAAGGCCATGGAGGCACCTGGGCCTGATGGCCTCCACCCCTTCTTCTATCAGAAGTACTAACACATAGTCTCTAACAGTGTAATCCAATTCTGTAACACTGTCTTTTCAACAAGTATGGTTCCTCCTGAAATAAACCAAACCAATCTCTGCCTCATCCCTAAATGACCTAATGCCACTATGCTGAAAAACTTCAGACCATTTGGTCTGTGCAACATACTGTATAAGCTTATCACTAAGATCATTGTCAATAGAATTGAACCTTTGCTTCAAAACATCATTGGCCCTACTCAAGATAGCTTTCTAGCCAATAGAAGAGCCGCTGATAATGTCATTGTGGTCCAAGAGTACATTACCTACTTCAAAAATATGAAAGGTAAGAATGCCAACATGATCCTAAAAGTGGACTTAGAGAAGGCTTTTGATAGGTTAGAATGGTCTTTCATTAGAGAATCCCTTCTCTTTATCAAGTTACCCA